TAATATCTCTAACAGAACTCGCAGTACTCCCCCCCCCCCCCCCCCCCCCCCCCCCGCAACAATGTCTTTGTGTGCTTTTCTCTCTGGAAGGATGGCGCCATCTTTATTCAGGCATCATCAATGGTCACCATCTACTTCTTGGACTGAGATGTCGGCTCGTGGCTCCTGGGCAGTTCCTGGCTGTGTTCACAAATGTCCGAAACAGATTAGCCCCTGCTGCAACCTCTCGCCCAGTGCTGTATTTAGGTTGCCCTCCCCACAGAGAGAGATTGACATGACCAACAACACCCCTGTCCCCCCACCTGAGAGAGCCTTCTACTACCATCGCCCCACCATACACTAGCCCCCCACGGCAAGAGGGAGAGAGACATTCCCTTCCACAACTCTGGACATCCCCAGGAACGAGAGTCAGGCTCTACATGCACTGTCAAGCAGTCCGCAGTCTCTCTCGGTTCCCACCAGGTCCCCGTGCCATGTGTGTCCCTTCTTCTATCTCTTCTTCCAGGGGGCAGTGCTGCCCCCTCCCCTGAAAAATGCCGCCCTAGGCAAAAGCCTTGTTTGCCTTGTGGAAAGTACACCCCTGCTCTCGCCCTATGACTTGTTACTGAGTTGCAGTCTGCTCATTGGGTGAGAAGAGACTGAGGGAATGCTTCCTCCTGCCTGCAGCAGATTGATGACTTTGTAGTTCAGGTGTGAAGTGACTGCCACAATGTGGTTGACGTGGCCTCTGTTGTCTGCGTGGTGGTCTGTTACTCTGGTCTCTGATGAAAGGATCTCCGAGGGGGGGAGTCTGTTACGGGGTCCTCACAGCCATGTTCATGGTCAGTGGTGGGACTGCAGCCAGCAGTATCGGTGAAGGCTGCTGGTTTCACGGTTCTGAGTCGTGGCTCGTGGGGGGGGGGGGGGGGGGGGGGGGAGTGTTTCCTGTAAGTAAACAGCCTGAGGAAATGTTTGTTATTACATTCACATCATACTGTGAATCATATTCAACAAATATCCCTCCCAGCGGTGAAAAAGAGGATCCCACAACAGACGCACCCAGAGAGCCGGCTAATTACCGACCAGTCTGAGTTTGTGCCGGTTCACCGCTAATTGGCTTAGTCTGAGCGCTGGTCTCGGATTTAAAGCGGAACTCCGGGATAAGTAATTATCCTCTAAATCCATCAGTCATGTGACTTCTTCTAGAATCTCGGTGATCTCTGTGTATTCCTTCCAGATCTGGGCAGTCATCCAGTGTGAGGCTTCCTGGAATAAAGACCGCTCACTGCTGCTCTCTCCTTGTACAGGGGGACTGGTCGTGACTCCACCCCCTCCTGTAGTTTTCTGCAGGCAGCCTGTAGTGGGTGGAGCCTGCAGGGCCCCTCCCAAAGCTCTGTGCTCTCTCCTGGTGCAGGGTGACTGGTCTTGACCCCGCCCCATCCTGTAGTTTATTTCCTAGAACACCCCATACCTCCTTGTGGGTGGTCTTGCCCTGAGCCTGCTGAGCCCCTCCCACACCTCTTCTATCTCTTCTCTTCTATCTCTCCTTGTGCAGGGTGACTGGTCTTGTCTCCGCCCCCTCCTGTAGTTTTGTGCTAGCAGCCCATAATGAGTGGAGCCTGATGGCCCCTCCCACAGCTCTTCTCTCCCTATCATTGTGCAGGGTGGCTGGATTTGTCTCTGCCCTCTCCCCAGTAGTTTTCTGCAAGCAACCTGTAGTGGGTGGAGCCTGCAGGGCACCTCCCACACCTCTTCTATCCATCCTTAAGCAAGGTGACTTTTCTTGACTCCACCCCCTCCTAAAGTTTTCTCCAAGCAGCCTATGGTGGGTGGAGCCTGCAGAGCCCCTCCCACACCCCTCCTTGTGCACAGGTCTGGCCCTCTGCCCCCTTGTTCAAGGCCTGTGGTGGTGGAGCCTGCAGGGCCCCTCCCACAGCTCTGCTCTCTCCCCTTGTCCCTGGTCTTGTCTCCGCCCCCTTCTGTAGTATTCTGTAGTGGGTGGTGCTTCTGGGCCCCCTTCTGTAGTATTCTGTAGTGGGTGGTGCTTCTGGGCCCCTTCTCTCTCTCCTTGTCCAGGGTGACTGGTCCTGTCTCCGTCCCCCCCTACTGTAGTATTCAGTAGTGGGTGGTGCTTTCTGGGCCCCTCCCACAGCTCTGCCCTCTGCACAAGCTATACAGGAGGCATCATATCATTTTCAAGCTGTGTATCGCTTTTCAGAGGTATCGCCTTTTGAGAGATTTTCCCTCACTTCCTGCTTTGCCTCCAGGACAGGAATGAATGGGAAATCTAAAATGTTACAGTTGTCCCCAAAACAGTAATTAAGTTACACAAATCCAATGGAGACGCCTGCTCCAGTGACCACTGCCTACGTGATGACGTCATCCTCCTGTTGTGTCCCCCAGGACAGGAAGGGAATGGAAATCAGCCTTAGGGGACACAGAACTCCTCTCTCTCCAGCGCCTGTGTGCGTTGTGGATGTGCGCTATAATGTATTGTCCTTAAGCATCGCAGCCCTCTCTTCTTATTCTGTAACTTCCATTTAATTCTCTAAATGCATTATAGCACATTGGAACGCACTGCACAGTGCAAGAACGCCATAGACTTTGTGCGGGGCAAGGCTGCTGATGTGTATGTGCCCCTTAAACATACCCAGTGAAGTGTCTGCCCTCAGGCGATACATACGTTGTACCTGTTTATCTGTAGCCCTCTCCCCTCTACATCCATTCAAAGTGCAGAATTTATACAGCTTGTCTGGGCTTTCAGAAAATGGGGCGGAGAGAGCTGAAGTTACACTCTGCAGAGCACAGTGAGAGCTGATTGGAGGGAAGGGATCCACCCACCACACACACACAGGAACAGAGCTGAGGCTGTTAATCACAGGCTGTGTGCTGGAGCTCCCTTTTGACACCTTTTTATCTCTCTGTGTGAGGTAAGGTGAGGTGGTTCAGGGATCTAATTGTCTGGTGTGTCTCTGCCCCTCCCACAATGGGGAGATTTCCCTCAGTAGTTTGTGTCTCTGCACCTCCCACAATGATGAGATTTCCCCCAGTAGTTTATGTCTCTACCCCTCCCACAATGGGGAGATTTCACTCAGTAGATTGTCTCTGCCCCTCCCATAATGGGGAGATTTCCCCTCAGTAGTTTCTCTGCCCCTCCCACAATGGGGAGATTTTCCCCTCAGTAGTTTCTCTGCCCCTCCCACAATGGGGAGATTTCCCCTCAGTAGTTTCTCTGCCCCTCCCACAGTGGGGAGATTTCCCCCAGTAGTTAGTCTCTCTGCCCCTCCCACAATGGGGAGATTTCCCTCCAGTGAGTGTGCAGGCTGCGTTGGTCTTATGAATGTCGCTGGGAGGAGATGTCTTTTTTTATTTATTTGTTTTTTTGTAAAAAAAAAATGATTTCTATATATATGGAAAATGTGACTTGTAAGTAAAACTTTAGGGAACTTTTTCATTTTTCTTCCTCCACCTTCACCCAGCTTTATTTGTAGGAGACGTCACGGTCTGAGGATTTCCATATACGGGCTGGGAGGGGTGTTTTATCCTGGGAGTTTGGCTTTTCTCTCCTCTGTGTCACACGTCCGGCACGCCGGAGGATTTCCCAACCAGGACTTTTATTCTGTTGTGGAACCTTAGAGAGGATTTGTCAGCAATTTTGTTTTTTCCATGAAATAATGGAAACACAGGAGTGATGGCGGAAACTGACCACATGGTCCATCTAGTCTGACCCCTTCTTCTCCCCTTTTTTTTTTCCCCTTTTTTTTTTGTACCTTTTTGTCTGAGTATAGATCTCTGTTTGTCCCAAGCATGTTTAAATCGCCTTGTGCTCCGCCCACAATGATGGGAATGTAAACCGGAACACAATTAATAGGATGAATAATAAATAAGATGCGTGGGAACAATTAAAGCTCCTCAGTGGTTGTGAGACCACAGCTCCTTATCTGTACAGAAGTGTCAGGTCAGAAAAATGTCAGAAAATTGTCACAGCTGTCCACACTGCTCCGCCATCAACTCCTTATAGTTCAAGTCTAGGTTCACACCTATGGAGTGGTATCTGCTCCTTTGTGGAGGAGGAACAGGATGAGCCCTGCCAGAGCCCTACAAAATGACCTCCAGCAGGCCACTGGTGGGAATGTCTCTGACCAAACAATCAGAAACAGACTTCATGAGGGTGGCCTGAGGGCCCGACCTCCTCTAGTGGGCCCTGTGCTCACTGCCCGGCACCATAGAGCTGGATTGGCATTGGCCATTGAACCCCAGAATTGGCAGGTCCACCACTGGCACCCTGTGCTTTTCACAGATTATTATACAGTATTTATAGAGCGCCAATAGTTCGCTCAGCGCTGTACATTACAAAGGGGGACAGAACATGTGACAGAACAATACCAATACAATGCAAAACATGAGGGGATCGAGGGCCCTGCTCCTTGGAGCTTACAATCTAGGAGGGAGGGGATGGTGGCACAGGAGGAGTAGCTGTGGGGGATGGAGTGGTAGGAAGAGTGGAGGAGGTCGGCAAGTTAGCAGGGGGTGGGGTAGGCTTCCCTGAAGAGGTGGGTTTTCAGGGTGCGCCTAAAGGAGAGGAGAGTAGGTGATAATCTGATGGGTTGGGGCAGGGAGTTCCAGAGGATGGGGGATGCCCTGGTGAAGTCCTGGAGGCGGGCATGGGAGGAGGAGACCAGGGAACTAGAGAGAAGGAGGTCTTGTGAGGAGCGGAGTGTGCGTGTTGGGTGGTACTTGGATATTAGGTCGGTGATGTAGTTCAGGGCAGTATGGTGGACAGTTTGTACGTCAGTGTTAGGATTTTGAATTTGATCCGTTGCGCAATTGGAAGCCAGTGGAGGGATTGGCAGAGGGGGGTGGAGGACACTGGGTGGAGGCCAGTGGAGGGATTGGCAGAGAGGGGTGGAGGACACTGAGTGGAGGTCAGTGGAGGGATTGGCAGAGGGGGGTGGAGGACACTGAGTGGAGGTCAGTGGAGGGATTGGCAGAGGGGGGTGGAGGACACTGAGTAGAGGCCAGTGGAGGGATTGGCAGAGGGGGGTGGAGCCAGTGGAGGGATTGGCAGAGGGGGGTGGAGCCAGTGGAGGGATTGGCAGAGGGGGGTGGAGCCAGTGGAGGGATTGGCAGAGGGGGGTGGCGGAGATGGAGCAGTTGGAAAGGTGAATGAGTCTGGCAGCCGTATTCAGGACCGACTGAAGTGGGGATAGCCTGTGGTGAGGCAGGCCAGTGAGGAGGGAGTTGCAGTAGTCGAGTCGTGATATGATGAGGGAGTGGATGAGCTGTTTAGTGGTTTCTGGAGTTAGGAACGTGTGTAACGTGAGAGCAGGTTCCCCCTGAGCACATGTGACAGACATGAAAGGGTCTGGAGAAGCCGTGGAGAACGTTCTGCTGCCTGTAACATGGTTCAGCATGACCGTTGTGGTGGTGGGTCAGTGATGGTCTGGGGGGGGGGGGGGCATATCCATGGAGGGACACACAGACCTCTACAGGCTAGACAATGGCACCCTGACTGTCATTAGGTACGGGGATGAAATCCTTGGACCCATTGTCAGACCCTACGCTGGTGCAGGGGGTCCCAGGTTCCTCCCGGTGCGGTGTGCCCCCGGGTTCCTCCCGCTCGGTGCGGTGGGTTCCTCTCGGTACGGTGGGTTCCTCTCGGTGCACGGCAATGCCTGGCCTCATGTGGGGAGAGTATGCAGGCAGTTCCTGGAGGATGAAGGAATTGATACCATTGAATGGCCCCCACGCTCACCTGATCTAAATCCAATAGAACCTCTCTGGGATGTCATGTTGCGGTGCATCCGACGCCTCCAGGTTGTACCTCAGACTATCCAGGAGCTCAGTGATGCTCTGGTCCTAATCTGGGAGGAAATCCCCCAGGACACCATCCGTGGTCTCATTAGGACCCTCCCCCGACGTTGTCAGGCATGCACACAAGCATGTGGGGGCCACACAGACTACTGAGGACCATTCTGAGTTGCTGCAATGACATTTCAGCCAAATGGACTCGCCTGCTGCATCATTTCCTCACTTTGATTTTCGGGGTGTCTTTGAATTAAGTCCTCTGTAGGTCCATCATTTTAATTTCCATCCAACGATGGGGCGTCCTTACATTCCTAACCCATCCCCCGTCCATGTCAGTATAGAGATCCAGCAGGAGATTCGTCCCCATTGAGGTCTGATGGGTTTTCAGAGTCTTCCTTTCATTTTTTTGAGCAGTATGTGTGTGTGTATATATATATATATATATATATATATTGTACATTCACATCAGTCCCCGCCCCCGAGGGGCGTACAATCTAAGGCCCCTAACACAAAAATTCATACATACACATACTAGGGACAATGTAGACAGGAGCCAATTAACCTACCAGCATGTCTTTGGAGTGTGGGAGGAAACTGGAGTACCTGGAGGAAACCCACACAGGCACAGGGAGAACATGCAAACTCCAGGCAGGTGGTGCCGTGGTTGGGATTTGAACCAATGACCCTAGTGGTATCAGGTGGAAGTGCTAACCACTTACCCACTGTGCTGCCCCCGCACTGCCGTAGGCACAGCGTGGAGGTTGTCACCTTCCATGGTGTTGCAATGAATCGTGAGGAATATAATAATATCGCCTTCACTATACTTCCATTTTAAATGTCATTTTTGGTTTCACATTCACTCTCCGGGATGTTGTTTGCTGAGTGGATTGATCCTTTAAGCTGTATTGGCTGTGCTGGCAGTGTAAAGGTTAATCTGCGTGTCGCCGGGGCACCATCTGGGCGGCTCCGCCCCTCGCTGAGTAATTTGGGTATTTTTAGAGTAAAGGGCGGCCAGGTCTCCGCGAGGCTGAAGTTGGCCTTCAGAATATTGAAGTCTATGGAGGATGTGTTGGTTACATTGTGTCAGGCGGTAGGAGAAGCCCCTCCCCCACTATAGAGGATGACTATGACATATTGATGGGAGGCTCATGTCTGCTGCGCTCAGCTCCTGGCCGGTGTCAAGTCGCAGGGACAGACCGCCAGAGACAGACCGCCAGAGACAGACCGCCAGAGACAGACCGCCAGAGACAGACCGCCAGAGACAGACCGCCAGAGACAGACCGCCGCGCAGAGGATTCCATGCCAAGAAACAGAAATAGAACGACCGGAGTAGTCGGGTGATGGGCGAGGCACGGGGGTTTGTGGGAGATTTCCCCCAGTAGTTTGTGTCTTTGCCCCTCCCACAATGGGGAGATTTCCCTGCAGTAGTTTGTGTCTCTGCCCCTCCCACAATGGGGAGATTTCCCGCAGTAATTTGTGTCTCTGCCCCTCCCACAATGGGGAGATTTCCCTGCAGTAGTTGGTGTCTCTGCCCCTCCCACAATGGGGAGATTTCCCCGCAGTAGTTGGTGTCTCTGCCCCTCCCACAATGGGGAGATTTCCCCGCAGTAGTTGATGTCTCTGCCCCTCCCACAATGGGGAGATTTCCCCGCAGTAGTTGATGTCTCTGCCCCTCCCACAATGGGGAGATTTCCCCGCAGTAGTTGATGTCTCTGCCCCTCCCACAATGGGGAGATTTCCCCTGAGTAGTTGGTGTCTCTGCCCCTCCCACAATGGGGAGATCTCCCTGCAGTAGTTGGTGTCTCTGCCCCTCCCACAATGGGGAGATCTCCCTGCAGTAGTTGGTGTCTCTGCCCCTCCCACAATGGGGAGATTTCCCCTGAGTAGTTGGTGTCTCTGCCCCTCCCACAATGGGGAGATTTCCCTGCAGTAGTTGGTGTCTCTGCCCCTCCCACAATGGGGAGATTTCCCCTGAGTAGTTGGTGTCTCTGCCCCTCCCACAATGGGGAGATTTCCCTGCAGTAGTTGGTGTCTCTGCCCCTCCCACAATGGGGAGATTTCCCTGCAGTAGTTGGTGTCTCTGCCCCTCCCACAATGGGGAGATTTCCTGCAGTAGTTGGTGTCTCTGCCCCTCCCACAATGGGGAGATTTCCTTTCCTGATATCTGGAGTTTGTCTTCTGGACTAGAAGAGACTTTTGTTTTTTTTGTTTTATTTGTTTAAACAAATCCCATGGATCTGATTGGCTGCTGTGAAGAATGGTTGAGCGGTTGCCGTGGTGACATGACAATATTTCCTTTCCATCAGATCATTTGCATCGCTGTAGGAAATCGATGGATCACAACGTTACAATTGTTACCGAGTGACGAGAACCTTCCTGTCCGTCCAATCACCGAGCGCCGTGTTATACGGCCAATAGGGGGCGCTGCACACCCTGCCGGGACACAGCCCGGGGCCAACATGCCCCCCCCACCAAAGATGTATGAGCATTATGTCAGCAACATTCCCCCCCCCCAAAAAAAAAATAATCTAATGTGCATACATTTCCCCTCCTTCCAGTACAAATCCAGCCCCCTGCTGAAATCCCCCTCCCAGCATAAATATTTGCACCCCCATCTCCCCAGTACAGATCCCCCCCCCAAAAAAAAATAAAAAAGTCGAGCACTAATCTGCATGCTTACCCTCTAGGCAGTAATGCCCTCTCTTCCCGGTAAAAAATCCAGCCCCCCCTGCTGAAATCCCCCCTCCCAGCACAAATCTTTATCCCCCCCCATCTCAAATTCTCTCTCTCATACCCCTCATATGCCCCCCCCCCCAAAAAAAAATTACTCTTTCTTGAACAAGTCCTCTATCCCTCAAGTTTACCCCCCCCCAGCATAAATTCCCCTCCCCCAATCCCACATCCTAGCACAAATCCCCCCCCCCACAGCAAATACCGACAATCAGCCCTGCTAATGTAAAAATCCCCTCCCCTCCCAGCACAAATCCCCTCCCCCCCACCATATCACCACCTTTTCCAGCACAATGACCCCAAATCCCCCCTCCTAGCACAAATCCTCTCCCCCGCCCCCCCTTCACAACACATGACCACTCCTAGCCCCCACCTCCTTAAATTTCCCATCCTAGAACAAACAATTCTTACTCCCCTGCTACCCCCAAAATTCCCCCTCCCAACACAAATCCCCCCCCCATCTCCTTGTGGTGCCCCGCCCTCACATAATGCTACAGTGCCGAAGGCAGCCTCTTCCCCGCCCACGCCCCCTTGTCCCGGCCCTGACTACAAATCCCCTCACATTTCCCTCCCAACACAAATCCTCTCCACCCCCACTTCAAATCCCCCCCCAGCACAAATTCCCCCCCCCCCATACCAAATCCTAGCACAAATTTCCCCCCCCCCCAGTGCAAATTCCCTTCCCCCAATACCACATCCTAGCACAAATGCACCCCCCCCACTCCAAACCACCCCCCAGCACAAATTCCCCTCCCCATATACCACATCCTAGCACAAATGCCCCCTACTCCAAATCCCCCTCCCCCCCCAATACCTTATCCTAGCACAAATCCCCCCCCCCAGCACATATTCCCTTCCCCCAATACCACATCCTAGCACAAATTCCCCCCCCCCCACACTCCAAATCCCCCCCAGCACATATTCCCTTCCCCCAATACCATATCGTAGCACAAATTCCCCCCCCCCCCCCCAGCACATATTCCCTTCCCCCAATACCACATCCTAGCACAAATTCCCCCCCCCCCCCCCCACACTCCAAATCCCCCCCAGCACATATTCCCCTCCCCCAATCTCACATTCTAGCACATAACCCCCCCCCCCCCAATTCCCCCTCCTAGGACAAATAATACCCACAATCAGCCCTACTAGTCCCCCTCCATTAAAAAAAAATTCCCTCCCAGCACAAATCCCCCCACATCACCTCCCCATATTTCCCATCCTAGAACAATTCTTACCCCCTGCCATCCCCAAAATTCCCCCTCCCAACACAAATCCCCCCCCAATATCCTTGTGGCCCCCAAACCCCCCCCCCCCCCCCCGCCTCACATGATGCCACAGCGCCCAGGGCAGCCGCCCCTCCTGCCCACCCTTGTCCTCCGGTCCTGACTACAAATCCCGGACTGTGCGGTTTCCTTGAAGTGAAGTTCCGGTCAATTTTTTTTTTTTTTTTAATTTTAATGTAGTCCTGGCTGGAGTGGGGGAGGGTTACAGCCGCCGGCGTTTCGTTGCTGTCTGGGTCACTGTTTGCTGTTCATGTTCTGTGTGATCTGGACAGGAAGTGAGGGGAAATCTACCCAGTGGGGACACGCAGCAGTGACACCAGGCAGAGCTTCTAAACATTTCCGGTTCCATTCAAAACTGAAAAAGACATCTTGTATAGATAGGCTTTCCGCGATGTGATTCACGGCAAAAACTGCTAATGAGAGGCGTTTTTGCATTGAAGTCAATGGGAGGCGTTTTTGCATTGAAGTCAATGGGAGGCGTTTTTGCATTGAAGTCAATGAGAGGCGTTTTTGCATTGAAGTCAATGGGAGGCGTTTTTGCATTGAAGTCAATGGGAGGCGTTT